ATGCACGCACGCATGCACACATACACACGCACACACACAGAGGAACACAAATATACTCAAAACTAAAATACACAACTATGCACACACGCGCACATGCACACGCCCGCATGCACGCACACGCACGTAAACACCACACAGACACAAACACGGACACAAACACAACACACGCATATGCGACACAAACAGACAACTTAGGACCTAAGCACGCAGGAGCACACAAACAGACAAACAAAGACACAACCGCACACAAAACAAACACAAATAAACACATGAACTCACACGCGCACACACACACACACACAAACACACGCAAACAGAAAGGCAGACACGCACACTCCATGCAGCTTCCCCACAACTAAAGCACTTTTTGTGTGAAGGGCGGCTGAGCTGATCAGAACCTGCCTTACCTGCAGCCAGGATGAACATCTCCGAGCTCGTGGCCCGCTGCCTGGGCTCGGGGTGTTTCGCATTTTGTCCTTCGTGTCTTGGGCGACTTTTGAGGCCTGGGGCGGGTCGGGCCATGAAAAAGTTCGAAGGCAGCTCAGCGCATCCGGCCGTGCCTGAGGCACTGGCCGTCCGCGGCGCCAAGGACGATGTTGCCTATGTGGATGAGCTCCGCGAGGCTCAGGGCTTTTATATATATTTCTGAATTGTCCTTTCCAGGTGCATCCACCCCGTTCCTCGAATTAGCTACAGGGGCTGTCACATATATGCAATGCACATTTTATATACAATTTTCTATACCTTCCCTTCAGCAAGAGACGCTGACTGGTTGAACCTTGCCCGAGCGTCGCGTCCTCGGAGCCGGGCACCTGCCATCCGTTCCTTCGCTTGGCACGCCAGGCCTTGGCGCGCCTTCGCAAGGGGGCGAGGCACGGTGTCGGATTGGGCAACCCATGCTAAGAAGCGTTTTCACACAACGTTAATTTGGTTTGATCCGAAGGGGGCAGTCAGGTAAGTGATATTCAGCTGGAGTTCAAGGCGTACAGGGTGTACGCTGCCGTCCGATGATTAAACGGGTGGCTTCAGTGTAGGCCAGTCTTTTTTGCTCCATGGGAGATAGAAAGATCAACTGAAGCCTGTGAAAGAGATGCGGTCGTGGGGAGTGGGGTGAGATATCAGAACTCATGTTTTGCTGTTTTTGCCTGCTGCCGGGGGAGTCGAGCTGGAGGTTTGAGTCTGTTTTCACGCGATCCAATCAGGGAATCATGGACGAATGCCGAAGGATGGAGGTTATTTAGAGTTGATGCTTCGTTTGGGACCCTCCACCTGATGTTGATGTTGTGTGTGTCTGTGTGGCCTGCTGGCAGATGCACCGTGGTTTGACCCACGGTGTCGCCTTGAGTCCATTGCAACCTCGGGCCGCTATAATTTTTTAGAGGGTATTAACTTTGGAGTTTAAAATAGTATATGCTTATTTGGACGTGACCTCCAAGCGACCCGTGTAATGCTCAAAACAGTTGTGGGGCAAAGTCGTCATCGTGACCATCATCATCATCATCATCATCGTCGTCATCATCATCGTCTTCGTCTTCGTCTTCGCCTTCGCCATTGCCATCGCCATCGTCATCGTCGTCGTCGTCGTCATCGTCATCGTCATCATCGTGGTCGTCATCGTCGTTATCGTCATCGTCGTCATCACCCTCATCCTCGTCATCGTCATCGTCATCGTCGTCGTCATCATCATCGGCATAGTCATCGTCGTCGTCGTCATTTGCACCACCATCATCACCATCATCATAATGATCGTTATCATGATCATCATAATGATCATCATAATGATCATCATAATGATCATCATAATGATCATCATAATGATCATCATCATCATCATCATCATCATTCCCCATGGAATCCAACTCTGGACAGAGTTTCACAATTTTTTGCTGCCATTCCAGGTGAGTTTGCATGCCACCCTGGAAAGTGGCAGCGCGGAAGACATCCGTTGAGAGGACTCGTGGGGGGAGTTTTGCGGACGATTACATGTTGTCAGTGAGGGTTTGGACCGGTTAGACGTTTCTTCCTTCGGCCTTGTGCTTGTTTTTACTTTTCGAGCTGCCACCCCACCAATTTGCACCTTAGCTGGGAGAATGGTTGCATTATAGCCTGGCCAAGTCCAATCCTCGAACCAGCCGTCGCCGGCTCGTTGAAGGAGACCAGCCGTGCTGCAAGCCAGTAGGCAGTACAGCACGGACCATGGCCTACGGCAGTACCGCTTTGGTTTGCTCTCACCCTCACCCCGCTTTCTGTATGCCTGAGCATACAGGCCCCCGAAAGCGGTTTCTGAGGCTGAGCTGGTGTACCAAGCAACGTGCCTATGTAGAGATGCTTTCAGTTGGCTTTGTCTACTTCTCTCTTCTGACAGCATATATATATATATATGTGTGTGTGTATATGTATTTATACACATTCATGTATGTGTGCATGGGTATGTTTTTGTGTAGGCAAGAAATATGTGTGTGGATCTCCCTATACAGGTTTGTATATATATATATATATATAGATTGCTTGTTCGTTGTTTCATGTGTGTTTGCTTGTCTCTGCTGTTATGTTTGAACATGCTTATGTGTTTGTTTGCGCATGCCTCTGGCTGGTGAGTTTGGACCATTTCTGAAGTTGAAGCATCATCATGGTTTGACCTGCTTGTGGGTTCACCCGCCTCTACCATCAGGAAGCGAACTGTCTGCTTGCAGCCTGGTGTGGCTCGTTCCTTGAGTTCCTGAGCTTCATACTTTTCGGGAAGACCATGTCTTAGGGTCAGTAGTATATGATCTCTGGTGGCCGCTGAGTTGCATTTGCCAGTCGAGCCCGGAGTTTCAAGAGCTGACATAGCGCAGTTCTGATGCTTGGTGGTGTGGCTGGCTCTCCTGTAAGGTCCTGGTGACCTGGGATCCGGAAACTCGTTTGGATGCGGACAAGATGTGCCGCCACACCCCGAAGTCTCGCCACAATTCACAGATGCACGACTTGGTGCCCTCGGGCCTTTTCATGGAGGGCGAGGGCAAAAGAATGGCCCTCTATGACGAAGGACCTCGCAGGGTACCGGCTTCAGCCGTTGAGTCGCGCATCAGGCGGTCCCCGGGCATGCAGTTTGAGGTGCTGTTTGGTTGTCTCAAGGTGCCGCGGTGGTTGCTGGCTGTGCTTGTTTGACGATGCAGTCAGGGTGCTGGTCGGGGTGCTGTCGAAATGTCCCATGCTATCTGGGGTCTATGCCAATGTATTTTTTTTTCTTCTCCCCTGTTTTCTTCGAATCATGGGTCTTGAGTTGTTTTTCCTTTCAATTATTTCATGAATGCTTCTGCCCAATGAGCGTTTTCTTCGAAGTTCTATGTTGGCACGAGTTCTTCGTCATTCGATTTCTTTGCCACAGGCTTTATTCTGGAGGTTTGCTCTAGCTCCTGGAGCCCTGTTTTCAGATTTCCCTCAAGCACTTCATGAACACGCTCATTCTGGAGGTCTTGTCCGCATGGACCTAGAGCTTTTCCGATTGCTGCCTGACTAGGTTCGAATTATTACAATTCTTTATCAATCGGGTTCGAAAGTGGAGACGACTGGGTTTGGAGCATGAACGTTATTGTTGTGGGAACTTATCGTGGGAGGAGCAAAGGAAGAAATGGTCTCCGGCGCAAGCCTGCCGGCAACCAATCAACAGCTTTCCGAGAGATTTTGGCGCTTGGCTTCAGAGAGAAGACAGAAAGAGTTTGAAAGACGCAGATAGAGTTGTAGGTGGTGAGGCTTGTGCGTTTTGTTCCACTCCTTCAACACCTTCCTGCGGGTTTAGTTTTGTTCCATTTGTTGTTTACATCGATGGCGTCAACGCCGTGCTCGGGTCGGGAACGCGTTCCTCCCGCCAGGCCGCTTAGAGATGTGCATTCTGCACCGAATGCATCGTTTTCGTCTGCAAGGAATGTCCGCTGGGCGGGCGCACTGAATGCTAGCACTAGACGGTGGGGCAAACCTCAACTTCTGTGGTTCTTTGCTCCTGCCGATTTTCAGATTTTCATCAGGCTCGCCTCACACTCGCGGTTTTGTACAGCTGAAGGGTCCAGTAAGGTGGTCATGCCAGATGGATCCAGAGTGAGGAGTGTGCACCAGATGAGCGCTTTAAGGCAGCCAAGATAGCAGACGCATTCGCTCTGGCCATTCTCACGCGTGAATTGTCTGGTTAGCCACCTTTAGCTCATGACTGCAACCGGCTCCTGAGCCAGTTTGCCAGCCCCTGGCCCCGTGCAGCGTCTCAGATGAAGTTGCTGCTGCAAAGGACACGGCTGACGGTGCGGTCTTCAAAGGTCCCCAGTATCCGAAGATGACGTTTTCACCCAACTTGTTTGGTGCTCTGGCAAGAAATGATCAAAGGGTGGGTTTGCTCGGACTTTTGGGGCTCGCCAAGTAGCAAGGCTCTGCGGTTGTGCCATCAGCCGAAGGCTGTCCAGGCAGGCAAGCTATGCTCTTTCCGGGCTCTGGGAAAAAAAGTGAGCAGCATAGCCAGATCGAGTGAAGCGATTCCTCCGCATAGCTCAGATGTTTGTTTGTTTGTCCTCGCGAAATGACATTTTCGCAGACGGGACTGGCATCCTGGAGCTGTGCTCTATATTAACCCACCGTTAAGCTACCCTACACAAACCCCAACCCTCACACGAACCCTAACAAAACCCTAAACAAGCCCTAAGCCCAACCTGACTCTAAGAACACCCTAAACCCACCCTAAGCCAACCCTAAATTTCCCAGCCTAAGTCAACCCTAAACCCACCCTAAACCAGCTGTAAATCCACCCTAAACCAACAGTACCCCAAATGTCCGCCTGTGCGGTTTTGGATGCTCGCACGGAGGACCTGCACAATATCCAGAGTAAGGCAGCACCCTCTTTCAATCTTACTTGAGGATGCCCTTCTTGGATGGGCTTTAAGGGGAACCTCACATCCAACAAAACCGCCGCTCGTTTTGAGACACACCCGATTGACAACTCAATGGGTCGTTGGTCGTGCGTGTTCGCAGCCTAGGCGCCTCGGGTGGCCCAGCGAGAGCATGCTTCCCCGCGCACGACGAGGCGTCGCGAGCCCCGTCACTTGCAAAAGATGTGGCTTTGGTTTCCGGTTTCGCCCTCGTTTCTGTTTGTTGTTTTGCTTCCCTCTGGGTCCAGAAGGCTTGCCTCAAGGAAAAGAAGGGCAGGGCATTCGAGCTTTGAGCTCGCAACGCAGAAGATCATTCTGAATTCAACGCATGCTTGCTTGCTTGCTTGCTTGCTTGCCTGATTGATTGATTGATTGTTTGTTTGTTTGTTTGTTTGCTTGCTTGTTTGTTTGATTGTTTGTTTGCTTGCTTGTTTGTTTGATTGTTTGTTTGCTTGCTTGTTTGTTTGATTGTTTGTTTGATTGTTTGTTTGCTTGCTTGTTTGTTTGATTGTTTGTTGGCTTGCTTGTTTGTTTGATTGTTTGTTTGCTTGCTTGTTTGTTTGATTGTTTGCTTGCTTGTTTGTTTGATTGTTTGTTTGCTTGCTTGTTTGTTTGATTGTTTGTTTGATTGTATGGTTGCTTGCTTGTTTGTTTGACTGTTTGTTTGCTTGCTTGTTTGTTTGATTGTTTGTTTGTTTGCTTGCTTGTTTGTTTGATTGTTTGTTTGCTTGCTTGTTTGTTTGATTGTTTGTTTGATTGTTTGTTTGCTTGTTTGTTTGCTTGCTTGTTTGTTTGATTGTTTGTTTGATTGTTTGTTTGCTTGTTTGTTTGCTTGCTTGCTTGTTTGTTTGCTTGTTTGTTTGATTGTTTGTTTGCTTGCTTGTTTGTTTGATTGTTTGTTTGCTTGCTTGTTTGTTTGATTGTTTGTTTGATTGTTTGTTTGCTTGCTTGTTTGTTTGATTGTTTGTTTGCTTGCTTGTTTGTTTGATTGTTTGTTTGTTTGTTTGATTGTTTGCTTGCTTGTTTGTTTGATTGTTTGTTTGCTTGCTTGTTTGTTTGATTGTTTGTTTGATTGTATGGTTGCTTGCTTGTTTGTTTGATTGTTTATTTGCTTGCTTGTCTTGCTTGTTTGTTTGATTGTTTGTTTGATTGTTTGTTTGCTTGCTTGTTTGTTTGATTGTTTGTTTGCTTGCTTGTTTGTTTGATTGTTCGATTGTTTGTTTGCTTGCTTGCTTGTTTGTTTGATTGTTTGTTTGCTTGCTTGCTTGTTTGATTGTTTGTTTGCTTGCTTGTTTGTTTGTTTGATTGTTTGTTTGCTTGCTTGTTTGATTGTTTGTTTGCTTGCTTGTTTGGTTGATTGTTTGTTTGCTTGCTTGTTTGTTTGATTGTTTGTTTGCTTGCTTGTTTGTTTGATTGTTTGTTTGCTTGCTTGTTTGTTTGATTGTTTGTGTGCTTGCTTGGTTGATTGTTTGTTTGCTTGCTTGTTTGTTTGATTGTTTGTTTGCTTGCTTGTTTGTTTGATTGTTTGTTTGCTTGCTTGTTTGTTTGATTGTTTGTGTGCTTGCTTGTTTGTTTGATTGTTTGTTTGCTTGCTTGTTTGTTTGATTGCTTGCTTGCTTGCTTGTTTGTTTGTTTGATTGTTTGTTTGCTTGCTTGTTTGTTTGATTGTTTGTTTGATTGTTTGTTTGCTTGCTTGTTTGTTTGATTGTTTGTTTGCTTGTTTGTTTGATTGTTTGTTTGCTTGCTTGTTTGTTTGATAGTTTTTTTGCTTGCTTGTTTGTTTGTTTGTTTGTTTGTTTGTTTGTTTGCTTGCTTGCTTGCTTGTTTGTTTGCTTGTTTGTTTGATTGTTTGTTTGATTGTTTGTTTGCTTGCTTGTTTGTTTGATTGTTCGATTGTTTGTTTGCTTGCTTGCTTGTTTGGTTTGTTTGTTTGATTGTTTGTTCGCTTGTTTGTTTGTTTGTTTGTTTGTTTGTTTGTTTGTTTGTGTATTTTGTTTGTTTCGTTGTTTCGTTTGTTTGTGTGTTTTTGTTTTGTTTTGTTTTCGTGTTTGTTTGTTTGTTTGATTGATTGATTGATTGATTGATTGAGTGATTGATTGTTTGTTTGTTTGTTTGTTTGTTTGTTTGGTTAGCTGGTTTGTTTGCTTGCTTGCTTGGTTGGTTGGTTGGT